TATATATATATTGTGTGTTACTTGTTTTAATCTTATGTATCCCAGCAGTATGTTATGACGATAAATAAGCACTTGGAAAAGTAGTTACTATGAAGTACTGGTTATTAATCTTTTGATATGTTGTGGTATAGGATTATTAGTTATCTTTCCTTAGTTCTTTCTTCACATCACTTTACAGTAATATTACTTCTTCCAATGTTATGTTTTTCATATTTTAATATAATTAAATGTTGACAACTTCAAACGTTTTCTTTCCTCCGAAGTGGAGGCACGTTATCCTTCCTACAAAGTCAAGGTGCATTATATTTACTGCATATTCTAAATAATTTTCATTTTCCTGCAAAGTTTAAACACGTCCAAACACGTTATTTTTCGTCCAAATTCAAAGCACTTACCAGTTCTTCTTAAATTAAACACATTGTCTTTCCTCCAAAGTTAGAGATCCATACCTTCCCATCATAGTTAGAACACGTTATCTTTTTTTCCACAATCAATACTCATTACCTTTCTTTCAAATTTATAACATGGCCAATTCCCCCAAACTCAAAACATGTTGCATGTCTTCCAAAGTTAGAACATAATATCTTTCCTTCATAGTGCATTTCCTCCAATTTTAGAACAAATTACAGAGTTAAAGCACATTTAAAGCATTTTACTTTTGCTCCAAAGTTAGAGTACAATAAATTTTCCTCCAAACTTAGAACACGTTACCTTTCTTATAAAATCAAAACACGTAACATTTTCTCCAAATTCAGAGATCCCTAGTGGCAGAGCGGTATGTCTGCGGACTTACAATGCTAGAAACCGGGTTTCGATACCCGTGGTGAGCAGAGCACAGATAATACATTGTGTAGCTTTGTGCTTAATTTCAAACAAACAAACCCTAACACCTGTAAAGTTAGAACACGTTATCTTTCCTCCAAATGTGAAATAGATTGTTTTTCCTCGATAACTATAACACTTTATCTATATTTCGTTATAATTATGGTTTTCACTGCTCAACAACGGTGGACTTCACTGTTTGTTTGTTTGTTTTGAATTTCGCGCAAAGCTACACGAGGGCTATCTGCGCTAGCCGTCCCTAATTTAGCAGTGTAAGACTAGATGGAATGCAGCTAGTCATTACCGCCCACCGCCAACTCTTGGGCTACTCGTTTTACCAACGAATAGTGGGATTAACAGTCACATTATAACGCCCTCATGACTGAAAGGGCGAGCATGTTTGGTGGGACGGGGATTCGAACCCGCAGATTGCGAGTCGAGCCCCCTAACCACCTGGCTATGCCGGGCCAAGAGTTCAAATGAATACGAGCCTTGCATAACATTGAAAATTTGGGCTTAAAGGGTTAAAAGTAAAGCCCATTCATATACGTTAAACACGCTTGCCTTCTGTTGATTAAAATGTTTTAGTAATACGTGTTAAATCTAGTTTACTCTCATTACAGAGTTTCTGTATATTGTTACGTCTAGAAAGTTTGCCAGAAAGTTAAGATACACGGATTGGATAAAATAATAGAAACACCTCCCCACGTGTTCAAGGGATTAGCTCCTCAGCTGACTGAGTAACGTGTTATTCCAATGATATTTTCTACAGGTGATCTTATATAAGTCCTGCTCCAAGTAACACAAGAAAGAACTCTGACATAGCTGTATTCCAAAATTGGGCAACATCTTCGCTTTAAAATATTTACAATATTAAAGGTTATTATGGCATGACGATTATCCCAATAGTCTCATTAGGCATATATAACAGTGCCTAGAAGAGTACTTTATATCAAATTATGATCTCGAAGAATGGAACCTAATTCCGCAGCATATTTTATAAAAACTTATAGATGCTCTACCGAAGAAGTTCAAACAGCAGCCAAAGGCGAAACCATGCGTTATGAAACCACGTTCACTAAGTGTTTCTATTTTGTGTCCGACCCCTGTGTATTGTAATAGAAAACAGACATGCTCACATTAGGTGATAAAATCCATACTATGATCAACTTCAAGTGTTATCGATACAACTACGCCAGCCATAGAAACAACCATTGAACGTAGTCTTATTTATATAATATGTATTGTTCCTTTATTATTATTATTATATTCTATGTACATATTTTGTTTTGGTTTTTATGTCTCTACAAAGAAAAAAGCGTGCACAAACTACAAACTACAACAATTTGCAGTTTCTCTTGCTAAGACACAGTATTGCTGAAGTAAATAGAACGTGATAAAACTTTTTAGGTCTTTACAAGCAGTAAAAGATTCCAAGAACACACTGGGGAAGGAGCGACAGTTACAGGCGTGCTCTGCATATAACGAAGCAATTGTTATATCCTTACATCTTAGTAACATCATGACAAATTTTCTCTAATCCTGTTTAATCAGTTTAAGTAGAACGTAGATGTAACCTTTCCCTTACTATATGGAAGTTTGTTATATAGAAAATTTGTCATGATGTTACTAAGATGTAAGGTTCTGAGATGTAAGGATACAACAAACTTCCATATAGTAAGGGAAAGGTTACATCTACGTTCTACTTAAAGTGATTAAACAGGATTAGGACGTCATGGCATATTTTCCCTAATCCTGTTTAAACTTTAAAGTGAGACGGTCCCCATGAGTTCATGCTCTCCGTAAGCTTTAAGTTCTTTTTCTACAAAGAAATGTTTAGGAAAACGCCAATTAAAATAGACATTCAAGAGTAAATATTCCAAACTCTTATTCTACTCAAGGCTTCGCGTGACAGTGATGTTTGTTTCAGGATTTCGTGTAAAGCTGTACAAAGAGCGAGAAACAGAGTGAATGTGAAACTATTGAGAGGATGTGTGAGGTATTTCACATCAACATATATCACTTATGTTACGAACTGGAAGATGTGTACATCACCATACACTTTACTAGGCCTCTTTATCGGTGTAATACTGTGTATTCTTATGGAAGTTCGCAACGGGTCAATTTTGGTTTGTTTCCACCTAACTGCATAGAGTTGTCATTCAGAAGTTAATGTCTGTTAGCATGTTTTTGTACTCGTGTATTTTCTTCTTATTCGATTCCGTATTTATCTTTTTTTGGTATATATATATTCATTTTTTCAACCTTATTTGTCGAGTTTAGACTAACAAACAGAATTCACACTAACGGTCTACTGAGAACATCTTGTCACTCATGTTTTATTAAGTAATAGCTTATAAATCTATAATGTTCTTTCACGGAACTTGCGACAGGTTATAACAATCTAATAATTTTTATTTCTCACATAATGCCCCCCAGTAGCACAGCGGTATGTCTGTGGACTTACAACGCTAGAATCCGGGTTTCGATACTCGTGGCGGGCAGAGCACAGATAGCCCATTGTATAGCTTTGTGCTTAATTAGAAACAAACAAAAAATTCTCACACAATGAAAACTTTTTTTTTCAGGGCCACATTAATTTTCATCTGAGCGACGTATTTTTCAACTTCTTGCTCTGAAAAGTTTGGTGAAAAGTTTGATGCCTTGACTTAATAATGCTTAAAACGTCTGCTTTACTTTGTCATTGTTCCTAGGTGGTTGAGCGTTCAGCTTACGGACTTACATTGCTAAAATCCGA